CTGGGGGTGACAGCTCCGATGATCAACGACCTGTCCCCAAGCATTCGCGTACGGATACGGGTGCTTCGCCTCCTCGTTCGTGGGCAGAGGAATGTGAGGATGTGGCGAGGGTTGATGTTTCTTCTGAGAGCTGTTCCTCTGTGGAGTGCGAGGATGGTGTGTCCGGTGCTGGTGTGGGTCCGGTGGATGGTGTGGGCCCTGGTGTGGCCCCTGCTGTGGGGGTGGGGGCCCGTGTGAGGCCGTCGCCCGCATCGGATGGTTCTGGTTCCCCGTGGGGGGTGGTTCCCCCTTGCGGGGTTGAGAGTGGTCTTGGCGACCTGGTGGTGGTGTTGAAGAAGACTGCTCACTCTGAGGTTCTGTGCCCTCTCCCCCGTCCCCTGTTTCGTCGGCGGCGGTTATGCCGCTCCACACGTCTCCGGCCATTTCTTCTGTATCTCCTGCTTTGTCGGGGCGGGGTGCCCGTCTCGGCAGCCTCCGCCTGCTGTGCCGGCGTCTTCTGCTTCCTCGGCGGCGGTGTTCTTGCCTCCCACGTCAGGTTCTTCGTCTTCGGTGTCCTGTCGTTGGGTTGTCTCCACATCCGCTCCCGCTGGATGTGGAGATCCCCGAGTATATGGAGTACCCGCGGTGTCGTGAGGGCCGTTCCCCTACCAAACTGGAATATTTATTATGGGAGGCTTATAAGCTGAAGTATCCGCCGCAGAGGTTCCCTGAGAAGTATCCTCCTTGTTGACTGTTGTGTGTCGTGGGGCTGCTTGCGCCTGGGTGCGTGGGTGTGGGGTGGGGTTCCTTGCGCCTGGGTGCGTGGGTGTGGGGTGGGGTTCCTTGCGCCTGGGTGCGTGGGTGTGGGGTGGGGTTGCTTGCGCCTGGGTGCGTGGGTGTGGGGTGGGGCTGCTTGCGCCTGGGTGCGTGGGTGTGGGGTGGGGTTCCTTGCGCCTGGGTGCGTGGGTGTGGGGTGGGGTTCCTTGCGCCTGGGTGCGTGGGTGTGGGGTGGGGTTGCGCTTGCGTGTGGGGTGGGGTGGGGGTGTGGGGTGGGGTTCCTTGCGCCTGGGTGTGTGGGTGGGGGGTGGGGTTCCTTGCGCCTGGGTGCGTGGGTGTGGGGTGGGGTTCCTTGCGCCTGGGTGCGTGGGTGTGGGGTGGGGTTCCTTGCGCCTGGGTGCGTGGGTGTGGGGTGGGGTTCCTTGCGCCTGGGTGCGTGGGTGTGGGGTGGGGTTCCTTGCGCCTGGGTGCGTGGGTGTGGGGTGGGGTTCCTTGCGCCTGGGTGCGTGGGTGTGGGGTGGGGTTCCTTGCGCCTGGGTGCGTGGGTGTGGGGTGGGGTTCTTGCGCCTGGGTGCGTGGGTGTGGGGTGGGGCTGCTTGCGCCTGGGTGCGTGGGTGTGGGGTGGGGTTCCTTGCGCCTGGGTGCGTGGGTGTGGGGTGGGGTTCCTTGCGCCTGGGTGCGTGGGTGTGGGGTGGGGTTGCATGTGTGTGTCTGGGTCCAGAGTTTTTTTTTTCTGGTTCCTGCGTGTTTCGTTTGTTTATTTTTTGCTTATGGTTGGTTTGCGTGTGTTTGTTGTGTATTGCTTTGTTGCGTTCCCTTGTTATTTCTTGTGTTTTACTTACTGTGTTGTATTACAGTGTTATATTTACCATGTTCTGTTACTGTGTTCTCGATTTTGTGGCGTGATGTCTGCTGGTGTGTGTTGCGGCGCATGGCGTGTGTGTTTTGTGTTTGTGCTATTTTGTGTATGTGTGATCCTTGTTTATACTTTACCCTTGGTTTATTGTGTTCTTTGTGCACTGTTGTCATTACTGATGCTTGTGGCCCGCCCCATATTACTGATGCTTGTGGCCCGCCCCATATTACTGATGCTTGTGGCCCGCCCCATATTACTGATGCTTGTGGGCCGCCCCATATTACTGATGCTTGTGGCCCGCCCCATATTACTGATGCTTGTGGCCCGCCCCATATTACTGATGCTTGTGGCCCGCCCCATATTACTGATGCTTGTGGCCCGCCCCATATTACTGATGCTTGTGGCCCGCCCCATATTACTGATGCTTGTGGCCCGCCCCATATTACTGATGCTTGTGGCCCGCCCCATATTACTGATGCTTGTGGCCCGCCCCATATTACTGATGCTTGTGGCCCGCCCCATATTACTGATGCTTGTGGCCCGCCCCATATTACTGATGCTTGTGGGCCGCCCCATATTACTGATGCTTGTGGCCCGCCCCATATTACTGATGCTTGTGGCCCGCCCCATATTACTGATGCTTGTGGCCCGCCCCATATTACTGATGCTTGTGGCCCGCCCCATATTACTGATGCTTGTGGGCCGCCCCATATTACTGATGCTTGTGGGCCGCCCCATATTACTGATGCTTGTGGCCCGCCCCATATTACTGATGCTTGTGGCCCGCCCCATATTACTGATGCTTGTGGCCCGCCCCATATTACTGATGCTTGTGGCCCGCCCCATATTACTGATGCTTGTGGCCCGCCCCATATTACTGATGCTTGTGGCCCGCCCCATATTACTGATGCTTGTGGCCCGCCCCATATTACTGATGCTTGTGGGCCGCCCCATATTACTGATGCTTGTGGGCCGCCCCATATTACTGATGCTTGTGGGCCGCCCCATATTACTGATGCTTGTGGCCCGCCCCATATTACTGATGCTTGTGGCCCGCCCCATATTACTGATGCTTGTGGCCCGCCCCATATTACTGATGCTTGTGGCCCGCCCCATATTACTGATGCTTGTGGCCCGCCCCATATTACTGATGCTTGTGGCCCGCCCCATATTACTGATGCTTGTGGGCCGCCCCATATTACTGATGCTTGTGGGCCGCCCCATATTACTGATGCTTGTGGGCCGCCCCATATTACTGATGCTTGTGGCCGCCCCATATTACTGATGCTTGTGGGCCGCCCCATATTACTGATGCTTGTGGGCCGCCCCATATTACTGATGCTTGTGGGCCGCCCCATATTACTGATGCTTGTGGTGGGCCGCCCCATATTACTGATGCTTGTGGGCCGCCCCATATTACTGATGCTTGTGGGCCGCCCCATATTACTGATGCTTGTGGCCCGCCCCATATTACTGATGCTTGTGGCCCGCCCCATATTACTGATGCTTGTGGCCCGCCCCATATTACTGATGCTTGTGGCCCGCCCCATATTACTGATGCTTGTGGCCCGCCCCATATTACTGATGCTTGTGGCCCGCCCCATATTACTGATGCTTGTGGCCCGCCCCGCCCCATATTACTGATGCTTGTGGCCCGCCCCATATTACTGATGCTTGTGGCCCGCCCCATATTACTGATGCTTGTGGCCCGCCCCATATTACTGATGCTTGTGGCCCGCCCCATATTACTGATGCTTGTGGCCCCATCTGATGCCCCATATTACTGATGCTTGTGGCCCGCCCCATATTACTGATACTTGTGGGCCGCCCCATATTACTGATGCTTGTGGCCCGCCCCATATTACTGATGCTTGTGGCCCGCCCCATATTACTGATGCTTGTGGGCCGCCCCATATTACTGATGCTTGTGGCCCGCCCCATATTACTGATGCTTGTGGCCCGCCCCATATTACTGATGCTTGTGGCCCGCCCCATATTACTGATGCTTGTGGCCCGCCCCATATTACTGATGCTTGTGGGCCGCCCCATATTACTGATGCTTGTGGGCCGCCCCATATTACTGATGCTTGTGGCCCGCCCCATATTATTGATGCTTGTGGGCCGCCCCATATTACTGATGCTTGTGGCCCGCCCCATATTACTGATGCTTGTGGGCCGCCCCATATTACTGATGCTTGTGGGCCGCCCCATATTACTGATGCTTGTGGCCCGCCCCATATTACTGATGCTTGTGGGCCGCCCCATATTACTGATGCTTGTGGCCCGCCCCATATTACTGATGCTTGTGGCCCGCCCCATATTACTGATGCTTGTGGGCCGCCCCATATGGGTAGTGCTGCTTTTGTGTGTGTGTGTGTTCTTATATGTTTTCTGTTCTTCTTTGTTTTCCCTTTTGTATTATGTTGATCTGTGTTACTTGTTATCTGTGTTCTTGTTATTCTGTTTTCTTTGTTATCATGTGCTTTCCTGTTTTATATGGTTACTGTACGCTGTGATTACTTTGTTTAAAAAAAAAAAAATAAAAAAAAAATTGGAGTTTTTATTATTCCACTTACTGCCTGTATGAGTCTTTGATTCACAGTTCAGTTCAGTCTTTGATCACTTCAGTACAATTGTGTTCCATTGGCAAAGTATAAAAGATAATATTGAGTTCCAACGGCTCACAAAAACCAGTTCCTGATTGTCCAAGACGGCCATTAACAGTGCGCGCAGAGAGTTTGTTTACGAGTGTGTCGTTTACGAGTGTGTCGTTTACGAGTGTGTCGTTTACGAGTGTGTCGTTTACGAGTGTGTCGTTTACGAGTGTGTCGATGACTCCTTCCTCTTTCAGAGTAGGGGTGGGGGTGCTGACTATTTAACCTTAATTACCAATTTTAAACAAATATATGTATCTAATCTAGCTAATAATCAAATACCTTAATTAAGATAGTTTTAAAAAAATAAGTATTGTACTATTATGAAAATGATTTGTACTACTAGGAGTAGGAATTAGATGGATACAGCTTGATTTTAGTGTAATGACGAATGACATCCTGCTTGAGTAGACTAGCTAGCCGTTGCTATGGGGAAACAACGTCCATGGACCATATAGAATCCATGATATAATAAAATGGTGGATATTTTCCATGCCACATGCTCCAAAAATATATTAAATATTTCATAATTATTTATAATATCAAGGTTCCTTTCTATTTGGGTAATGATTGCCAAAGAGTTATCAATTCTTTGTAATTATGGCGATTAATTTTCACAGGAAAAATTCCTTAAATTTCTAGTGTAAAGTATCATATGAATCCGAAATCATTCCAGTTGAGACAAAATACGCCAGATGTCGTCAGAAGGTTAAACAAGTATTATATCGTTGCAGGAAAGGTTTTTGCTGGTGAAGAGCGCGAACTCTTCGGACACACACGACTACAAGTGGTGGGTCCCACTAACATACACTAGTCAGGATGACCCAAATTTTAACAACACACAAGCCATGGAGTGGATGAAAGATTCTGAGCCAGAGATAACAATCTCTTCACTGCCCGGCAAGGACCAGTGGGTTATCTTCAACTTACAGGAGACAGGTTATTACAGAGTGAACTATGACGAGGACAACTGGAACTTGCTCATCCAGCAGCTCAACACCGACCACCAGGTCATCCATGTGATAAACCGCGCTCAGATCATCGACGACGCCATGGACCTCGCTCACGCTGGTACGTTCTGCCGTTGTTACACCAACACGTAGACCCGAGGAACACGTAGACCTATTGACCGCTGCCCGAGGAACACGTAGAACTATTGACCACTGCTGCCCGGGGAACATGTAGACCTATTGACCGCTGCCCGAGGAACACGTAGAACTATTGACCACTGCTGGCCGGGGAACATGTAGACCTATTGACCGCTGCCCGATGAACACGTAGAACTATTGACCACTGCTGGCCAGGGAACATGTAGACCTATTGACCGCTGCCCGAGGAACACGTAGAACTATTGACCACTGCTGGCCAGGGAACATGTAGACCTATTGACCGCTGCCCGAGGAACACGTAGAACTATTGACCACTGCTAGCCGGGGAACATGTAGACCTATTGACCGCTGCCCGAGGAACACGTAGAACTATTGACCTCTGCTGCCCAGGGAACATGTAGACCTATTGACCGCTGCCCGAGGAACACGTAGAACTATTGACCTCTGCTGGCCAGGGAACATGTAGACCTATTGACCGCTGCCCGAGGAACACGTAGAACTATTGACCTCTGCTGGCCAGGGAACATGTAGACCTATTGACCGCTGCCCGAGGAACACGTAGAACTATTGACCTCTGCTGGCCAGGGAACATGTAGACCTATTGACCGCTGCCCGAGGAACACGTAGAACTATTGACCACTGCTGGCCGGGGAACATGTAGACCTATTGACCGCTGCCCGAGGAACACGTAGAACTATTGACCACTGCTGGCCAGGGAACATGTAGACCTATTGACCGCTGCCCGAGGAACACGTAGAACTATTGACCTCTGCTGGCCAGGGAACATGTAGACCTATTGACCGCTGCCCGAGGAACACGTAGAACTATTGACCACTGCTGGCCGGGGAACATGTAGACCTATTGACCGCTGCCCGAGGAACACGTAGAACTATTGACCACTGCTGGCGGGGGAACATGTAGACCTATTGACCGCTGCCCGAGGAACACGTAGAACTATTGACCACTGCTGGCCGGGGAACATGTAGACCTATTGACCGCTGCCTGAGGAACACGTAGAACTATTGACCACTGCTGGCCAGGGAACATGTAGACCTATTGACCGCTGCCCGAGGAACACGTAGAACTATTGACTGTTATCCGGGGAACACAGACCTATTTACTGCTGAATGGGGAATAAGTTAACCTTTTAACTGCTCCACAGGGAATATATAGACTTATTGACCGCTGCAAGGGAAATAAATAGACCTGTTGACCACTGCCCAGGGAACACAGATCTATTGACCTTCATCAGACATCCGGACAAAATACCCTTTGAATTGGCTCACAACCAATTCAAGAGATGACATTCCCCCATTAGCATCTTTCCTCACCCACACAAAAATATATACAAAAATGTATTTTTTCTCGTGGAAATATAAAGTACAGGAAACATTATAAATAAAAATGTAACTGCTACACTTTCGATTAGTGTGAACACATAATTGTTGGGAGAGTTAGCCCAATTGTCTCCACAAGGGACCTCTGGACCTGCACAAACACTTCCGTCTTCAAAAATTGTGCTTCACGCCACTCAAAGTTATTATAGTGTCTATTATATCGACAAGCACATTTAGGGAGGACTCTATTGCCATTACAAAATATAAAATTATTACTAATTACATTAAATAAACTTGAAAATCCTACCTCATAGCATTCGATGCATAGCTGAGTCCATCCCAAGTTTATCAAATTAAGGCCACTCTGTTACCAGGGACCACCAAACGTCTTTGCACTCACAGGTGTGTGGTCCACATACTCCTCCGGAGTCCCAGGAGTGCACACACAGGTGTGGTCCACATACTCCTCCGGAGTCCCAGGAGTGCACACACAGGTGTGGTCCAAATATTCCTCCGGAGTCCCAGGAGTGCGCACACAGGTGTGGTCCACATACTCCTCCGGAGTCCCAGGAGTGCACACACAGGTGTGGTCCACATACTCCTCCGGAGTCCCAGGAGTGCGCACACAGGCGTGGTCCACATACTCCTCCGGAGTCCCAGGAGTGCGCACACAGGCGTGGTCCACATACTCCTCCGGAGTCCCAGGAGTGTTCATAAATGCACTTTGCACCGGAATGGTTAATAAACATCATTGCTTTCATCGTTACTACAGTTTTCCAGCCAGGTCAGCTGTCATACAACACCACCATGATGGTTACTGTCATGTTCCTGCCAGGTCAGCTGTCATACAACACCACCATGATGGTTACTGTCATGTTCCTGCCAGGTCAAATGTCATACATCATGTTACGGACTGACTGACTTAGTAACTGGTTCTTCTGCATTTTGGGCCTTAACAAGAGGGGGGGGGGGGTAAACAAGACTAAATAACTCCTTCACCATTATAATCTTTTTTTCTAATCTACTGTGCATTGTTTGTTCATTAGTGTGACATTAGTGCAGTGTTCTTCATTTCCCGGTAAGTCCACTATCTTCAAACATACGTAATCGGCGTTCAATGGTCATAACACCGACGAGTTCATCTTACTCAACATGGGCCAGTCCCACACAATACAGTCACGATGTCCAAATTCCCCACGTCTGCTCTCCAGAAACACACTAGCAGAGGTCTTCAGCAACACGCTGACAGGGGTCTTTACCAACACCCTGGCAGAAGTCTGACTATATGCTAGCAGAGCTTCTCAGTAGACGGCCAATGTTGTCTCGTAACTCCTCTTGGCCAAATCCTGGGTACGTCGATTCACACAATAACACCACACAGGTACAACAGCCAAAACACTGTCTTATACTGATGGCAGCCACTTGTCCTCGCAGAAACATGTCAGGAGTTCTGGCATGCTATAGGTGAACTCCCTTCCAGAGGGCAATAGACCCTCCTCGTTACCTCTAGACATAATAGTTATTAGCCAGACGGAAAGTATCTAAGGAGAACATATGATGACAGCTTTTCGCCGGAAAACTGAAAATATATTCGGATGCACAATCTAGATGGCATTGCTACCGTTACTTCCCCACCAAGAGGTCTTTATCATGCTTCCAATCTCCTAAATGAGATACGATCAGGAGTCTTTCACTGATGGCGCTGAACTTGCCACACCCCCGCTAACAGATGGCGCTCTCTTCCTCACACCTAATGACATGGAGTTGGAGTGCAGATCCATAGACGGCGTTGCTTTCGCCACACTTCACTCCAGAGAAGATGTTGATATCGTCATACAACACCACCATGTTGGTTACTGTCATGTTCCTGTCAGGTCAGCTATCACACATCACCACCATAATGGTTACTGTCATGTTCCTGTCAGGTCAGCTGTCATACAACACCACCATGTTGGTTACTGTCATGTTCCTGCCAGGTCAGCTGTCATACAACCCCACCATGTTGCTTACTGTCATGTTCCTGCCAGGTCAGCTGTCATACAACATCACCATAATAGTTACTGTCATGTTCCTGCCAGGTCAGCTGTCATACAACACCGCCCTGAGCGTGAATGGATACTTGAAGGCGGAGACGGAGTACATTGCCTGGAACACAGCCATAAACAACTTGGCCTACCTGGAGATGATGTTCACTCGCACAGGAGGGTATGGAGCTCTCAAGGTACGCCTTTTCTGAGATTGTATTTGCATTGAAGATAAAGTTACTTATATGCTGATTGATTAGCATAATTCATTTATCACATTATAACAGATTCAATCAAAATGAAATCTGTAAATAATAAATAAAATAATGAACTTCCGATTCTAATATGAAGTTATTTGTAAACAGAACTTCTGAATTTGCCCCTGTTTAATTAATAAATCAGTAAATGTTTCTTCCATCACCCACGGCAACAGAGGTACTTGCTGTCCCTGTTGACTCCGCTGTACGACGCAGTAGGCTTCGACGACAACAGGAGTGACCCTCAACTGGATCAGTACAAGCGGGTGCTGGCCTTGTCGGGCGCCTGTAGCCTCGAGTACCAAGACTGTGTCGACAACTCCGTCTCCCTCTTCCAGGAGTGGATGCTCAACCCAACTAATAACAGGTAAACTTTCAAGCTTCATCCACTACAACGTACCTTTATATTATCTTTCCTTAATACCATAGTTGTCATGTTCTTTTGACCTCAACTGAAGAAAATACTTGGTATCTAAGCCATTCAATCAAGCCAGTCCCCTGGAAACACAAACCGAAACTGTCTTGTGGGAACCGACCTGTGAGATTTATATTTATTTAATTTATATGAATTTATATTTACGTTAATTTATATACTTCGATAGCAATTTGTATAATGTTAAGTGGACTGTATTTCTGCAATAATCTTATAATCTCACAAATCGATCCTCTACACATTAGGGGGGTTTATATTTATATATATGCAGCCAATCAAACTACAGAAATAACTACATACATTAAAGAGGTTCCTTATCTTATAGTACAGCAGGTTAGTCCACCAGGTATAACTAGGGTGTAGACACCAAATTATCCTCTTTGAGGTAGCTTCCATTCACCCAGTAACTGGTGCACAAATCTTGCATCCTCGTCTTGACCTGTCAAAAGTGCGCTAGCTGTGAAGCCAGAATCCTATATATGACAAGTATATCAGAGAAAACAGTACATGGAACATGAAGACCTGGCTTAATTACCTTTAGTTTGAGGCTTCCACGTGATCTAACCGGGCCACCCTATATCCTGACATTAATGGCCATAAATGAATGATAAACGGGTTTCGGATAGACACTTAACTTGATATGTAGACAGCGTGTTGAAAAATGGTACACCTTTGGTTTCCATAACACTACGTCCAAGTAAATTTAACAGGAGCCGAATTTGCTCCCGTGTGAGCCTCTGGTCTCAATATAAAACAATGGCTGCCCTCCTTCCCCACTGACGCCTGGCCTACTTTGTCCAGATTTCAGAAAGTGATAGAAGGGTCACATTTACTCTACTTTAATATTGATAATTAAGTTAATTTATATAAGATGTTTTTATGATGGTAAAGTCCAAAGACTAATGTATTTAAGAATAATTCCCAGCAGAATAGCTGGTGAATTATAATAGTATGTGGTGATGATATCCCGTTTTCTTTAGACGGTAATTCCACTACAAGTTACGTTTTCTATGGGTAACTTGTTTATACAACACAGCTATTATCTGTATGATATATTAAATGGTGTCGGATTTTCCGACATAATTCCCCAGGGGCTGCTCACGGGTCGAAGTCCTCTTTAGAACAGACGAACACCGATACTCCTCCTTCGAATTATTAGATTAATTTGATGTTAGTAGTTAGTAATCACACATTTGTGTGTCTGTTCGTACAGGACGGATGTCCCGTACTAGAGTTGTAGGGGTTAGAAGTCTAATGCGATTTCATTTCCCTGTCAACTCTTGAAAGGCTAATATTCAAGCCTTATTACATATTATTTAACCCAGAAGACTGAATGTGATCAAGTACTACAGTCAAGTATGATTCAGGGACTGCAGTGAGATCAGTGACATTAGATATAACTTGAAGTTTCTTCAGGTAACTGGTCACTGATATATAAACACTGAGGCCCATGGAATACATCTTGATTAAATAATAAATGTATCAAATCAGTCATCAGATTTATTGGGGTTCAATTTAGTTAATTGATTCAGAAGATTGAATAGCTCATCATTAAAGTAAAGTATGGTTCTGAGACTGCAGTGGGTTCAGTGACATTGGTCGTAGTGACTTGTAGCTGTTTTAGGCTACTGTTCACTGATTTGCCACTGAGGCCTCATGAACTCATCTCCAGCTTTAAATGATGATACTAACATCAACCTCTGTTAGTATAGTCAGCTGTAATCTCCTTAGTATAATGCTACTGGAGAAATATAATCAGCTGACAAATTTAGATTTCTATTGGTATTGTTTATCTGCAGGCATAGGTCTCCTCAGGCTTGATACTGGGCCTGAGAGTAATTTACCTCCTGCAGAGTTTAACATGGTTATGCCCTGATATTTAGTAGGGCTACCGATGAATCGATGGTAGTAGTCTGCCCCCACAAGGACAGCCATTTGGCATTTGATTTGCTCAAATTGACCTGCAGCTGCTTGATAATAGCTTTCCAGGTCAGCATAATCAACTTGAGATTGTTGTGACAAATCTTCACATTTCTTGATCTGTCTTGTTAAGTGGCCTTTAAGACCTGCAAGGGTTCTTTTCATTCTCCCTGCATTATCCATACTGGCTCGTTGGTGAAGCCTTGTGGAACTTGTACTTGGGCTGCTCATAATACTGAACAAGCACAGATGGTAGCCTAGGGTCAAATTCTGCACTCACTAGGCAATAATCCTACCTCTACTAGAGGTTAGCACTTAAAATTAATACACATTATATATATATACAATCATACACACTAATGATTTGAGTGATAAACCAGTGTCACTGGAAGTACCTTTAGGTTAGCTCTTCAATATCACCCTAGGATGGTAGAGACACTAATTAATCACTCAAAGGTGTAATGATCATAAGTAAATTATTATATATACAACTCAACTCGAGTTGATAAAAATTACACCCAAAATAGGGTCTGGACCATGCATTAATGGTGTTAGGTTGATCAATATAGTACAACTGACTATGGTAATAATGGGACTAGGATGAACGATAATAGTTCAACTAGTCAATGGTTTTATCCTACCCTGGTGTGGGTTGGCAATTAGTAAATATTATACTGTGATCACTAGTGCAATATATATTAAATGATTCTCTATTTTGGAGAAATAATATACACAATTATTGATAATAGCCTCTTAATTAGCCTCTATGAAACTTCTAATATTATCTAGAAGTATTAAATATTATTAGTGACCTCGCGAAATAAACTCCACAAAATTCGTAGATAATCTCTCGCGAAATGTAACACCACGAAATCCGTGAACAATCTCGCGACACAGTCACTAATTAGGCTGGCTTCTATATTAGCGCTGTCATTTCACGAAATAACACGCCACCAAATTTGTGTGGGTGTGCATGAAACCGCTGACGAAGCTGAACTGGGCTGAGGGAGGCTCCTGAGCTCCCACGAGGCATCGCCGCTGTCTATGACTGGCTGGCTTTGTTTAAATAACACTGCACTAGTTTATTTAATGAATCCACTAGTTAACTGGTTCATCCGGTACTAAGATGACCAAATGTGGGTTCAAAGGATCAAATAATCCGTCATCCGGTTCGAAGATGACCAAATAATGTGGGAACCGACCTGTGAGATTTATATTTATTTAATTTATATGAATTTATATTTACGTTAATTTATATACTTCGATAGCAATTTGTATAATGTTAAGTGGACTGTATTTCTGCAATAATCTTATAATCTCACAAATCGATCCTCTACACATTAGGGGGGTTTATATTTATATATATGCAGCCAATCAAACTACAGAAATAACTACATACATTAAAGAGGTTCCTTATCTTATAGTACAGCAGGTTAGTCCACCAGGTATAACTAGGGTGTAGACACCAAATTATCCTCTTTGAGGTAGCTTCCATATCACCCAGTAACTGGTGCACAAATCTTGCATCCTCGTCTTGACCTGTCAAAAGTGCGCTAGCTGTGAAGCCAGAATCCTATATATGACAAGTATATCAGAGAAAACAGTACATGGAACATGAAGACCTGGCTTAATTACCTTTAGTTTGAGGCTTCCACGTGATCTAACCGAGTCACCCTATATCCTGACATTAATGGCCATAAATGAATGATAAACGGGTTTCGAATAGACACTTAACTTGATATGTAGACAGCGTGTTGAAAAATGGTACACCTTTGGTTTCCATAACACTACGTCCAAGTAAATTTAACAGGAGCCGAATTTGCTCCCGTGTGAGCCTCTGGTCTCAATATAAAACAATGGCTGCCCTCCTTCCCCACTGACGCCTGGCCTACTTTGTCCAGATTTCAGAAAGTGATAGAAGGGTCACATTTACTCTACTTTAATATTGATAATTAAGTTAATTTATATAAGATGTTCTATTTTCCGCTTGTTACAACTTATAATAAAGTTGTTACATCTTGGCTTAACGTGTTTATAACGAATTAGAACGTTGTTACAACTTGCTATATTGGTTGTTATAACTGGTTAGGAGGTGTTAAAAGTTGTTCGAACGTTGTACCAACGTCGTAGTTTCGGTGTGTGTTTGGCGGGGTCAGATGTCGGTATTTCTTGCAGATCCAAGGAAAATATCTCCTAGCCTTTAAGGTAGTTGGTCGTAACCAGTTAAGATTATTGTTTTAGATTGTCTTTGCTACACGTTTAGCAAACGTTTTGTTCTCTTGTCATCACCCACCAAACATACACCGAAACTACGACGTTGGTACAACGTTCGAACAAGTTTTCACACCTCCTAACCTGTTATAACAACCAATATAGCAAGTTGTAACAACGTTCTAATACGTCATAAACACGTTAAGCCAAGATATAACAACTTTATTTCAAGTTGTAACAAGCGGAAAATAGAGACAGTTTCGGTTTGTGTTTCCAGGGCAAGATGTGCGCCCGAGTATCTCCAGGGAACTCTGCTTCAGTGGGTTGTAAATGCGAAACAGGAATGTAGTATTTGGATAAAGAGCATCGTGAGACCTGAACTCATCTAGCTGTGCTTGCGGGGGTTGAGCTTAGACTCTTTGGGCCCGCCTCTCAACTGTCAATCAAATGATTTTTTTCAGACATTCACACCCAGGAAGCAGCCTATAGCAGCTGTCTATCTCCCAGGGTACCTATTTACTGATCGGTGAACAGGCACATCAGAGTGAAAGAAACTCTGCCCAATGACCTGTGTCTCTCAAAGGTTGTTCCAAGGAATGTACGTGAATTAACTTGTTCGACTCAGTGTCCTTATTGCTGGAGATATTTGCATCTGTAAACTTTTGGGTCCGTGCGCATACTGATGGATTATTAAAAAGCATTTTTTTTAATTCACTACAAGAGGAAAAGTTCATATTTATTGTAAACTTTCATTTACATGATACAAAAATGTGGAAACTGCACTACGTTCTTGTGTTTAGACA